ACACATAAAAAAAAATAACAATCGCCTCTGTTTAAATATTTTTAAAATTATAAGCGAAGAAGGTGAAAATCGAAATTCTCAAGCCAATCGCCAAAAGGTTTTCACTTATTTTGTTCATTCGAATTTGAATTTCCTCAAGAGGTGAAAAATTTCCCGAAAACGAGAGGATCTTGAAGATACAACAATCTTCCAACATTTCACTGATTCTAGAAGTCTGGCATTTTACGCAAATGGAATTTAAGGACAGTATGATATGATTAATGATAATGATAACACATGATAATAATTAATAATAATCAAGTATGAAAAAAAAATTTGGAAGGCTGTTATCATTCCTAATGATGTTTATTTTGATAAAAAATATTTTTATTTTTAGATAATTTATGAACCTTTAAGAAATAAACGATAAAAAAAAAGCTCGAATTCTTTTTTTTTGAATAAACTAATATTTAAATTTTTAAATGGTTATCGAAATTAAGAAAAAAAAATTTAATATTTTAATTAAAAATTTCATATAATTATCAGTTGAGAATTATCAGTTAAACTATTTAAGAAACAATCATGAATGTTTCTGATTCCTTCAAAGTATTAAATGCATTATCAAAATTAACTGATCTATTTATCATCTTGTCACTAAGATAATTGATTCTTTGGCCGAAAATATGTTATAAAAAATAAAATTAAGTGAACTTTGCCAAATTTTTCCAAAACTATTGAGCGCTATTAAAAAAGATCCAATATATTAATTATTTTGTATGATAAGAAATTTTTTCCATTTACCGCCGGGAAAATATTTATTTGGAATTATCACCAGTAGGCAAAACAGGAACATTTTATTTTACTTATTCATTTACCTACGTCGAAAAATTTCTTAAAAATTCTTCGCGAAAAAAAAGAACTTCGAAATTTACCTTTCGTCGATAATATTTGTTAATGAATTGAAAAAGAAATGTTGTAAAGCAAAACAAAAATTTTTATTTATTAGTGGCAATGATGAAGTGAAAAATAAAATAAAATGACTTTTACGAAAGAAAGAATTTTAAAAATATCTTTTTAAAATAAATTTTTGGCTTATCAAATAGCTGTTTGGCCAAACTTTCGCCTACTTTGGCGGCCGATAAACCAGTTGAACGAGTCCAGCCAGAAATAACGATCAAATAGGAAAATCGAATGGAGAAAAATTTTAGCAAAAAATGAAAACTGTAAAAAGGACGAATTAGTTAAAAAAATATATTATCGTCATTCAACAAGAAATTTTCAATAAAAATTTTAAATGTTTTGGAAGATATAAAAAAACATTAAAAGGTAAATTTTGGCAATTTCAGATCATTATCATGGAATGCTGGTACTCAAGAGTTTTATCATATCAATAATCAGCTTAAAAAGATTTAAATGAATTAACGAAATTTTTATTTCGTATTAAAAATTTTCATAGTAATTCTTTGTATTATTATTTTTTACATTAATTTTATTCATTATTATTTTTATTATAATATTATTATCGTTATAAAATCAATTCAGAAATATCATTGGCAGTTTTTCATTAAATTTTATTATTTTTTTCTGCTATTTTATACTATTTTCGTAAAATTTTATATATAAAATTTTTTTTTAAGAGCCCTCACATTACTGGTTCAACTTCCTCCGCTGGTTTGTCGCACTAGAATATGCCAGGGAGTCACTTGGCGATAAAAATGTAGGTGAAGCGCCAACATCACTTAGATTACCATAATTATAATATTTTTACTATAAACATATATATATACATATATATATTTATTTGCTATTAATTTATATTTATTAGATTTTTGAAATGGCTATACGATTTATCTTAAGAAAATCCCAACTTTATGATAAGATAACATCGCCTCAGGCAATAAACAAATAATATTTTCCTTCAAGAGAAAAACGAAATCCATTCCGAATACTGAATATATTGGCGATTATACGACCCCCATCTATCAAATGATTTTCTCAAAACTATCGATCATGCTAAAACCAACTAAATTCGATGCGTAAAAGACGAAAAAAATTAAATATTTAAATTTTTTATTTATTTATCTTCATTTGCATAGTAATTTATTCTAATTGAGTTATACATAAAATACATAAAATTTATATATATATATATAAATTTAATTTAATTTTTTAAATTTTTAAATTTAATTTAAAATTTAATTTAATTTTTTAAATTTTTAATTTTTTAAATTGTAATAAAAAATAACATAATTTTCAATAATTTTTAATTTCAAAATGATTTTTATGCTTTGCACTTCGCTTAGGAAAATATTTTTTAAAGCATTATTTTTTAAACATTCTTATAAAAGAATTGATTAATTAATCTATTTTTCAAATTTTTTTATTCACTGAAAAAGGGAATTTTAAAATCAGATCAGAAATTTTTAATCGCTTATATACCAATTTCTAAGGCTTAAAAATATTTTAAGGATCTTTTAGGCTATTCTTTACTTATATAATGTACCTTATGGCACTATACTGTTCATAAATGGTCTATGCCTTTATAAATAATAACAAATAAATAATTTTGCAATGGGTTCGGACGATAAAGCAAATAATATTTACTAATATAGACAAATATTAAATACTAAATATTTTTAAAGGATTTCTTCATCTTATCAACTTATCATTAATTATCATCAGAAATTTTATCAAATAATATTCTTCCATTAATTATAGTCGCTTAAAATTCCTTTATTATACTTATTTATTTATTACTGCAATTTTGCTTAATGTTTTATTTATTTATTGTTATTATAATTATAATTATCAAAATAAAATTTTATTGTTATTTTTCAAATTTAAATGAAATTTCATTAAATTATAAAATGATTTAAATTTTAACACATCTGACTTATTGATTTGGAAAATTAATTCTTTTTTGCGTTTTTTATCAAATTTTCATAAAAAAATAAAATTAAATAAACTTTAATGTTTTTCCATGCACTTTTTTTTTACACAGTTATTCGGTTTTACTACCTCTTCTTCTAACAATATGCACCATTACTGTTTAAGCTAACTGCAACGAGAGTGAAGCATTTCCAAGCCTCATAGCCATGTCGTAAAATAACAAAAAACAAACGCCACTTCTGTTTTTATCTTCTAAGGCCATAAATCGCGAGGTTTTTTATCTTCAAAATTTCTCCTTACTCTATCGGTCCTAAATTTAATTAGTTCTTGCTTTTGCACCATTCACCATAGAGCTTAGAAATTAGAATGCTTCTGTATGCTTCGATTTCTATAATGGACGGCGAAGATAATTCAACCAGTATAAGCGACACATTTTAATTTTTTTTTTTCTTTATTTCCAGCTGTTCACTGTTCATTTATTTAGTAATAATAAAGAAGCAATAATGAAATGGGAAAATTATTAAAGAAGGACAAATTATTGCAAAGAATATATTCAGATACGACATGAAAAAACAGGGATTCTCAATCTTTTTTTTTGCATCGTTTATCTTTAGAAAAATATATTCCCATAAATATTGTTATATATTAAATATTATAAAAAATATAATAAAATATATAAATAAAAACATGTACAATATGTAAATAAATAAATAAATATATATATTGCTTTCAGTTAAATTCCTTTGAAATTTTACCTTATCCCATTCCCATTTTCCTCCTCCTCTTTCTCCCCTCCCTCCTCCCTTCTGCTCCTCCATTTCCTTTGCATATTAATCATGTGAATTATTACAAAAAAATGAAAAAATGTTATAGAGGAATCCATAAAGGTACCATGAAAAAAAGTTCGCTTTTTATAATTTACTTCCGAACAGATACATCTTCCAGCATATATATATATATATATATAGTGTTTTTTCATAGTTAAAAAAATAATTAATTAAAACAATTAATAAAATCCTTAAATTTTTATTAAAAAGCGATTTTTCTTGATCAAAATTTCGAAATGATTTTCTTAATCGATCTATTGTTTTCCGATTATTGCTTATTTTGCTATTTTTTTAATGTATTGTTTCGTAAACGTGGAGGGAAGTATAGACGAATGATTGTCGCTCAGTTACCTTGACGATTAAACTTTCTAGCGAAAATTCTTATCATATAAACGATAGCAAAAAATAAAACCAGAAATGGAGGATGTTGATAACTTTACTTTTCTTACTTACATGCAAGCGATTAGCCGTCTTGCTTCGCTTGAAAAAAAAATAAATAAAATAAAAAGAAAAAGCGCGAATATTAGCGATAAACCCAGATTTCAACATTTTTTTCCAATTAACAATTTTTTTATTAAAAAATTTTATTAAAAAAAAAAATTTCAGTTAAAGGTATACTAAAGGAAATTTTAATGAAAATTTTTGTATTTTTAAATATTTGCATATTTTTTTATTCAACAAATGCTTTAAATGTTGTTAGTTAATTTTTCGCTTTCAAATTTTTAAATTTTTATTTTTATCATTATTAAAATATTATTATGACGTACTCTGAAATGCAGCCACCATACTATACTATGGAATGAACTGTATTTTAGAATTAAATATGCGGTTTGTTGCCTTTTACTATAAATTATAGCTATGTTTTAGAGTGGGTGCAATTAATATCATCAAAGTCGAAAGGAAATGTTTTTTCGTTTTCATTTAGATTTAAAAAATATCTTAGGTGAAGTTATATGAGCGCACTAAATCTTCCTATCGTTCAATCAACAGAAATAATATCGCAAAAGACGAATTTCGAACGAATAAAATTCGTAAGTCGTCTGAATCTGACTTATTGTCAACTCAGTTGAAAAAACACAAAATTCAATCGAAGAAATTTTTGATGGAAAATTCTCCAACAAATAAATCTCAGATGGATTCAGCAAGATTATTTACGAAGTCGGAATCAGTTCACACAGAAGGAGCACATAAAATAGCAACAAAAGTATATAATTTATTAAATTTTTTCATCATTGACGAAATTCATTCCATCAAATAAAAAATAAATTTTTGCGGAATTTCGATCATAGCTGTCGAACTTTGCAGATGTATAATGCACTCAATATGGAATATTATGGAAAAATAGGAGTTGGAACACCGTTCACTCAATTTCTTAGAGTTGCGTTCGACACGGGATCTTCAGCTATTTGGATAGTTGATGCTTCTTGTAACGTTAGTGAATGCCTACAAAAAAATCGATTTAATAGCAGTTTATCATCAACGTTTCGTGAAATGGATGAACCATGGAAAATGATATATTCTGATCGTTCCTATGCTACTGGAACTCTTGGAAACGATTGTATAGGGGTGAATATTTCCTATAAGAGTTTCTCTTATAGTTACACAGTGTATAGCTTATACCATCCTAAAACTAGATGGAAGAATCCCAGAAAATCATGCAGAATACTAAGTCCAAGGTCCTGTGAAATCGTCATTCAGATAACCAAGTACTGGCTAATCAATTACATATCATGGCGGTAAAGAGCCAGAAATCAGCACTGGGGACCAATTTCAAAAAGGAATATGAAAAACTAGAAAAATGCCCGGCAACCAAATATGGAAAGTAAACGCCAAAATGGTCCTATGGTGGTATGAGAACTAGTGTGACCCATAAACTGGAAAAAGATGCCAGGAACAACCTCCTCAGCAATGAGCACTGCTAAAACTCTCAACCTCCTAAGTTTCTGGTATACGACATGAGATTGAAGGTGATCTTCACCATTCATAATAAGAAAAACATTTTTTTATAAAACTACATTAACTTCATATTTTATAGATCCTGGGTGAAAATTCAGAAATATTAAAAATTTGTAATACGACATTCGGTTTGGGTAAAGAAATTAGTGGTTTTAACGACGATCCAGTTGATGGCCTTTTTGGTTTATCATTTGATACGGTACCTTACAATGGAGCGTTAACTCCATTGCATAATGCTATTCGAATTAATCTCTTTCTTGAGCCAATATTTACAGTTTGGTTGGGAAATAAAGTAAGCCTTCATTCACTTTGATTTTCATGTTATTGTTTTATCAATATTTATGTTATCAAACAAATATTTTTTCAATGATTTCAAACTTTCCAGTTTAGTTTAGTTTTTTTCTTTAAATAATTTTCCTATAAAAACTGAGTTTTTGAGCTTGAAAATCTATTTTTACGAGTAAAAAAATGTAGGAAAATGCGAATGCCTCTAGTGGAGCAATAATATTTGGAGGATTTGATAAGGAAAATTGTGGTCCTATAATTGCATATGAGCAATTAATAGCCGCAACATTTTGGCTCTTTCAAATACGAGGTGTTGGAATTGGCAGTGTTAATATTCGAGCCACCTATCAAGCAATTTCAGATACTGGCACTTCGGTAATTCGTGGCCCGAAAGGTATAATTGATCGTTTAGCTATTGAAATTGGAGCTAAGGTGTGGCATTATTTTCTTAAATTTTTAATTTGAAAAAATTTTTATATTTAATTTTTGGAGATTTTTGTTGGTTGCGGCTGCTCTGAATTTCTATTTCCAAATAGTTTCCTGGCAAAATTTGTTTGATCCGATAAGCCAGTGAGCGCTCTCAAAAAGATAATATTTGATTTATAAATTAAACGAGTTTTTTAAGGTTATTTTCCTTCTCTTAAATTTATACCTCAAATTTTAGGACAGTCCGTTTAAAAGAAGGTATATGACAGCGAATAAATGATCAATTATAATTTCAGTATTATCCTGAAGCTGACCAGTACTTAATTAACTGCAGTGCATTTAATTCACCACCTATTTGGATTATTATTGGATCCAATAAATATTTTATCGATGCAGTGAATTATATTGTTGAGGTGATTTTGATATATTTATATTTTGAGATTTTCTTCTTTATTATTTATCATAAAATAATTATGCTTATCGCATAAAAATTTTAGAATATAATTTTAATTTTAGAATATAAAAATTTTCTTGAGAAAATTAAATAAATAATTAATAAAATGAAAAAATAAAAATTAAATAAATTAAATAAATAAATAATGAAAAAAAATTTGGCTTATCTTCTTATAAAATCATTTTTTTTTAATCTCTGTTCTTCTGACAGCATCACTGGTTGGCTCCAACGGCTACAAGGGTAAGACACTTCCAAGCAGCGGGGACTTTTTTATCATTAATAATTATTAATTAATAAATAAATATAATTAAATTTATTTATTTTTTCATAAATTATTCACAAACTATTTAATACGAAAAAAAATAAAGATTCGGTTCTTATCACCATCAATAGTTTAGCGAAAATTGAAGTATTATAAAAAAAAATCTAAGTGCTACTGGCGATCCATCTTTAATTCTATACACATTTGATTGAATCACTGGTAAAAATTTCTACCTAATTGACAACTCGTAAATAGAATGGCTTAGTGAGTTGTTGCTCGATTCAGAGCGACGATGTTGAGGTTCTATTCCTCGCAGGAGAAAATCTATTCGAAAATCCGAGTGATACTGTCGAGTCACATGCATTTTCAATCGCCAAGAGATTCCCTAGATATTTGTTCAGTATGATAAACCAGCAAGTAGAGCGAGTCTAACCAATCATGGTGAGGGCTCTTAAAAAAAAAATAACAGCTGAAGCAAAAGCTGCCTAACTAGAAATAGTGAGCGCTAAGCATTTACTAATTTTTTAATTTTTTTTGAATGAAAATTAGTATAGCCAATTTTTTAAAATGATTTATTATATGATTTTAGCGCTAATAGTAATATTTGGTAAAATATTACTTGAAAGAAATGTACTGCAATGAAAAAATTTTGTACGCTTCACAAATTCTCTTCTTGTAACATTATTCACCATTTCAGTTGTTGTATTAGGACCATTGATTTGGAAATAGAAGCAGAATCGGATCGCCAGTAGGCTACCATGAATTAGTGATACTGATATATTTGGTTCTAATGAGGAGGACCTGGTTGATTTTTATCAAGGTGCCATTCAAGCAACTTGTTTTATTTCTAAAGTAGAAAAATTTCAGTATTCAGCAGGTCATTGCATTTTCGCATTCGATGGTTATACACATATGGGTATCGGTAATCCATGGACTCTTGGTCATGTCTTCATCCGTCAGTTTTGTCAGATTTATGACATAGGAAATAAACGTATTGGATTTGCTCATCATAAAGTTAAATAAGCCTTTTTAAAATTTTAAATTCATTAGAAGAAAACTTTTTTCTCTATTTTTTTTATTTTTCAAAAAATTGTTAATAAATTTTTTAATTTTGATTAAATTCTAAATGTGCTGATTTTGCTTGAATGGTAATAATTATTTCTTTATATCTTAATAGAGCAATTGGAAGAGCCAACCGTTGATAAAACTGCTGATAATGCGAAAAATTCAAATCCCAAAAATATTAATGTGCAATAAATAATAATAATGAACAACAGTGAACCGATCTATCTAATAGTGAAAAAAATGAGAGTTTCTACTAGTTCCACAGGCTTTTAGTTCTGCTAGAAATATTTGCTAGGGAATCAAATAAATCACCTTTATTCAAAGAATCATTTTTAAAAAATAGAAGTACAGATGGTTCGCTATCCTGATTTCTAATAACTGCCTTTCTATCAAGAATGGAACCAATTCTCTGATGCTTAAAGCAGATCCTATTTCCCTTGCAATCCATCAAATTGTTGCTGTAAAAATAAGAATCTTTATTTCGATTTCGTCAGATTTATTTGATTATCTGAAGTGATCTTTTTTTTGACTTTAAGCTTTTCAAAAATCCAATATGCTAATAGGAAATATGCTAGTTGGATATTGGAAGCAAAGGCTATCCGAAAAGTAAAGTCTACCAAAGCACGAATCTCACATTTGAAACAAAGAAATCGATTTGATTTTTAGGAACAAACCTATCCAAAAATCCGAGTGCTGCTGGTGATGCTCATCTATACTTCTATCGCTGAGGGATTTTTCCCTGATTTTTCCATTTGTCCAGTGCGACAAGCCAGCTGAGCAAATTTAACCAGTAATGGTGATGACTCCTAAAAACAGATTTTATTAGAATAATCTAATCATATATTTTTGAATGGAAGAAGCAAAATACAATAGGGCTCATATCTCATTTTCTATAATCTTTTTTTCTGAAATGCTATTCCATTTTTAATTTTCCTCACTCATGGCGCAAAAAAACTAATGATCAGCTAATTGCGATAAAGCATTGGGAATTAATCAACGTAAGGCCAACTTACCGTGATCCAATCCAATTCTTTGTGCCTACATGGATTTGGTTCCAATAATATTTTTTGTGCTTATCAAATTTCTTATAACGATGCAACGGCAGTAATCACAACTCACCACAGTCCGTAGGAAATTATTTTTTCCCATTTTTCCCACTTTTTTCTCATTTTTCCAATTTAATAAGATGTTAGTTTAGAATTTTTTTCAAAAACTTTTCTTCGTAATTTAGATACGCACCTTATTCTGATAAAAACCGAAAAATGTATGGAAACTACTCTCAATGATTTTGCACAAAAGAACTGTCCGAGTTATTTGTACATATTTACTGCAAAGCAAAATAATTCAGCTGTGCTAATAGTGTGCAAATTCTAAGATTATAAATTTTTATTATTATTATAAAATTTTATATTTCCGTCGTATGAAAAGAAAAATATTCATTAAGATCCATCGATCGTCAAGCAATCATTGCGAAGTTTTCATATTGCAGAATCCATCTCTTAGTGTAATAGCATTAAGGAGCTGTTGTCTGACAAATTGTAGAGTCAACTATGATATTTGCATTTGACAAAGTGTGCGGTGCGTTATTCGCGGTGGTTTGCAAAATTATTTTGCAAAATTTTCTCCAAAAATTCTTTCAATTTTGTAATTCTGTATTTTGTAATTCTTTCAATTTTAAAAAATTATAGCAATCATATCATTTTACTAAATAACGTTTACAAAATAGTTCCAACCAGGATGAACATTAAAAAAACATTGAAAATAGTTCCAACCAGGATGAACATTCAAAAATATTTTTAATATATTATATAAAAAAAATTTCTTTAATAAAAATGAAGTCATAGATTTTTTATAGCCGAAAATTGTTGCATATGAGGAATGCATTGCCAAATATCATTTTCATTAGGTTTATCATTTGCTAATCATCTACATTTTGCAAATCTCTTCTATAAACCAAGTAGTGCCTTAATTTGCCTTTATTTCTGGTCTAAAGTGGCCTATAATATTTTATTATATCAATATTATATTTTATATCAATATGTTGTTATATCAATAATCACTTAACAACGAATAAAAGAAATCTGGAAAATAGAAAAATTTTTAAACTCATCAGATTTCAAATTTTTCCTAAACTAAAATAGCGCGATAGTGCGATATTTTAAGCTTTATAAGCCGTTTCTATGTCACTTTCTAGGGCTGTTTCTCGGTTTATCTAATCACATATCATATGTAAATATCGAAAATAATAACGTATTATAATACAAAAAATCGCATTACACCTTTACAATGTTAATTTTTGATTCAATAAATTTGGTAATTTAAATAGTTATTTTTTTAAAATAATTTTTTTAAAATTTATAATAAATAAATAAATTAAATTTTTAAAACAATTTTAATAAATTTGAAAAAAGGTTTTTGGAATAATTTTTGAATAGATTTATCAATAGATTATAAAATAAAATTAAAAAAATCTTATTTAAAACTTTCAAAAATTTTTGCAGAATTTTTTCTCATTTTTTTCGCTTAAATTATTAAAGAAACACGGTAAAATATTAATTGCTGCCAAATTTTTGAAATATTTTTTGTAAAATTCTTTAAAAATCAAACTAGTTAGTCGCGAAAATTATTTATATGTTTTAGATATGCGTTAACTAATTGATTTATTCATTTCTAGAAAACATTCCAAACAAAAATGAAAAAATTTCAATTAATAATAAAAAAAGATAAAAAATATTAAAAAAGCGAAAAAGCGAAAAAAAGAAAATAAAATATTATTAAATAGAAATAAATAGAAATAGGACAAACGGAAATAAATTCATATAATTTTATAAATATAATTACAAAAATAATTAATAAAAATAAATAAATAAAGTAGAAATTGAATTTAATAAAAATTTTTCACATTTTGCTAATAATGTTTGATTGATTATTCTCGTTATTTCTCAGGTTTTAAGAATCGCAAATAAATCCATTTAAAAAATCAAACTAGCAACTAGAAGTATGATTTTTTATTGGATTTAAATTTTATGGATTAACCATTTTAACCATTTTTATTCGATTTTTCAGAAATAAATGGTCGATAACGTCAACTAGGCCAGCCAAAATGAAAAGGCGAAAAAAAAATTACATAAGATTTAGAACACCATGAACTCCATGTAAAATACCGTTCAATAAGTCAAATATGTGATAAATCAAGTGAACCGATAACTGTGGAACTTCTTTTTTAAAGAGTCCTCACCATTAGTGGTTAAACTCGCTCCACTGACTTGTCGCATTTGGCAATAAGCCAGGCAGATAGAAATACAGGTTAGTCGCCAACATCACTCGGATTTGTCACTGTGGAACTAGTGACAAATAAAAAAATATTAATAAAAAATTATATGAAATAAGTAGTAAGGACGAAATATGAAAACAACCAATGCATTGAAATTAACCTAGTTTAATAAGGATTTAAAAAATTCTCTAAATAAACATAAATAAATTCAAATTTTTCTAGAAAAAAAAGTACAGTTGGAGTAGAAATCGCATCGCGAGAAGTGATTTTTTCTACTAACATTGAAAAGGATTATAAATATTTGATTCTTTAATTCCACAGATAGGAAAGTTTAATTTCAAAACGGCTCGTCTAATTTTTTCATAGCTTTTGTATATGGAAGAAGCAAGGATAAATAATTCGGATCCATTCCAATCCATTCCAATATGAATTTAAAAAGTTATGGAACTTAGTCAATTTCAATTGGTAAGATTGACCTATATTGAAATTCGAGCTGAAATCTCGGCTAATTTCCAAAATTTCTCATTTAATTAATGAAATTATATTTTATTATACACTAAATCTAATACACTGCCCATTATTTTCTTTATATTCATCGTTGATACACGAACATTTTTGAAGACACCGATCGGTGAGTTCGAGGAAACGTCTTTTCGATATAGTTTTAAATATCATATTCGTTCCACACTTTTGATTTGTTCTTTGGCAACCGTAATCGAAAATTTTATCGCCAATTTTGTAATTTCTTGTATTGTTAATCGAATCAGACTGAATCTTTAATAAAAATCACCTATGTTTATATTAATTTAAATATAAAAAGCAAATAAACAAATTAAGATATTCATGCTTTTTTCTATTAGAAGAACTGTGGGAGTCACAACAAACGAATATAATTTAGCACCGAGTAGATTAGTTTAACGAAAGGCAAAAAAGAACCACTCACCGGAATTTCTCCAACGGTTGTTGAATTATTTGCTATTGCAGTTCGTTGCTGAATTTCAACGCATTTTTCACCTTCTCTAATATAACTTTCATTTTCGCACTGACATCTTAGCCAACAAATTTTATCATTTGAGCTAAAACTTTCCGATGAGCTACTTGGCTGAATTTCTCTGAATATCATATGAATACCACATTTTCGTCCTTGCATCATCAAACACACGGATTTATCGTAGGAACTGGCACCATTACTTGCAGAATTCACATCATTGTTTGCCGAATTGTTATTGTGGCTCGAAATAATTGTCTAAATTCGAATGCCGAGGATTCATATGAGATTCTAATAAATATTTAAAAAAAGAAATTGTTATAACTGCATGAAATGAAATTTCCTCATATAACTTAAACTTCCTTAACTTATGACTTGTTGCCTTTTTGAAATAAATAATTATATATTATAAATAAATATTGAGCTACTTGGCCAAATTTCTTAGAATATTGTTCGCAATTGTTTTGGCATCGATATGCATTGCTTCCGATCTGAATCCTGAACCCTATGATGATTTTTTCCACATATGCGTTAAATAAATCTTTTATTGTTTATTTCCTTGATTTTTCTTATATTTTAACCCGAGAATCATAAAAATTAACTTTTCGGTTCTCTTTTTCGACACACTGCCCATTCTTTTCAATATATTTGTTGCTGATACATAAGCAGATTTGAAAACATCGATGAAAAAAAGTTGTGGACTCGAGAAAGAGTGTCTTTGAAATAGTTTTGAAAATCATATTAGTTCCACATTGTTTATAAGTTTTTTCACAACCATAATCGATAATTTTATCACCAACTTTGTAAGTACTTTCATCGCTTATACTCTGAGAATGTATCATTAAATTAATACGTTGATTTAAAATTAAAATATAAAAAGAGGCTGAAACGCTTTTTTCATTGGAATCCCGATCGTTAAATAGGAATATGTATTAGTATTCAGCGATTCACTTCGTGAATGGTCCCACAGATACGATTTGCGATCGAAGGGAGTCAAAAAGTATAAAGGATAACTAAAAAAATAAAGGATAACTATCAACTTTAAACGATATCATGGAATATCATTCAATTATTTCGTTTTTATCAGTGATCATCGATAAATGTAAATCCATGTGTAAAATACTAAACTGGTTTTAAAAACCTTTGGTCCACTCTAATATCAAATAGCCAGGCAAAAGACGATATTATAGCCCGGATCATGGCAGCTAGAAATGCGTTCTTCCAGTTGGCGAAACCCTTATAGAGCCGTCGTGAAATTGTCATAAAGACGAAACGAAAATCTGCATCCATGTAGCTCCAATTCGCTCGATCTTGTTATATGACTGCGAAACATGGCCAACGAGAGTTGAAGGTATTAAGAAGTTATCAGTCATTGACTCATATCTATGATATATTTACGGATTTTACGTCGAACGGATAAAATCGCACATGATTGCATCCATCTTCGCTCAACTACCATCTGCATTAATATTATTATCACACAACGTCCTTGGTTAGTGCACGTTCTCCGTCATACCACAGGAGTTGACGCATATTTTGTTAGTTGCTAAATCCTGCGATGGATGGCGTCAAAAGCGAGGTGGGCCAATGAAGACCTGAATTGTTGTGGTCAGAAAAGACTTTAAACGTATGGATGGATCTGCAATATATGGACTCAAACGATGGAAAAAAGAATGGCATCTATTATCGACTACCGACGATGGCATCAGACCGCGCCGCTTAGAAGCGTCTTAGTAGCCGTTGGAGCGAGGCTAACCGTAATGGTGAGAACTACTAGAAGAAGAAGAAGTTTAGTTCAACATGGATTATCGATAGAAACATTATAACCCCAACTGGTTTTGGTTAATCAGCATATACTACAACATTTTCACAATATTTCCACCAAAAGGTTGGTCCATACTATATGCATATATATATATATATATATAGTTATTCATTTTGCAAGTAAGAAAGAACAATTTACCGAACTTTTTTCATATCCAATGGTTATCGAATTTTTCGCAACGCATTTGTCATCTTTTCCAATATATTTTTCATTTTTACATTGACATCTCAGCCAACAAATTTCATTGTTCGAAGCAAAACTGTCAGACAATGCATTTAAATGAATATCTTTGAATATCATATTAATACCGCATCTTTGTCCAAGGAGTTTCGAACAGAGGAAGGATTGGCCGTGCAAAGTTTCGTTGAGAATTTTATCGCTTTGCGTAGAAGTTACATGAACCACCGTTGGATAATTGGTACTCGAATTATATTTCTTCATTCAAAAATAGTTAGTTAATAAAATTTAAAAATCCTTTCGTCCTCCAATATTTCCAATATTTTAAAATATTAATTGCGAGGTTTTTTTTTTCAAATCCATTTTTTGTTTACTTATTTATTGAAATTAAATGCGAAAAAAAATTTAAAGAACAATGATTAAATTATTTTCACATATTTAATTAATTAATTGCTTTAAATTGATTTGTGAAAATTCACATTTTATTGTTTTATAAAATTAAAATGAATTAAAATAATGCATAATTACTTTAGTTGTATTTTGGTATTTAGGAAACCTTTTTTTGATGCATTTTGCGTTGTTTACAGCAAAATATTTTTTAGCACAAGTACATCGTTGCCTGCATTGATAGAATGGCTCTGAGTGGTCAAGAATAAGAGTTTTGTGAATTTCTTCAAATATCATATTTATGCCACATTTTTGGTTAGTTTTACGGCAACCAAAGTCAGCAATCTCTTCGCCATATGCACAATCGCCATGCTGACATTTATTCTCTCCACTAGCAAATTGAAGTAAAACCTTTAATAAGGAAAAATTTTTTTAGTGCCTTAAATTAGACCAATATGAGAAAATTGAAATTTTTTTACCAAATTTTTCGATTACCAAAAATTTTCATGGATTTATTACGAAACGAACTTCTGCAGAAAAAAAATGCGGGCAAAAGTATGAGAGAATGCTATTGAATGGATGCAGAAAAAAAGAATTATCTTATAAAAATAATTTATTAGAATTAGAAAATTCACTTACTATTGTGCAAGGAATAACAACGGAAGGAAACATCACAGAATGTGAAAATCTTATGGGCGACGACTATTTAAAGCATTCGCAAAACCGGTTTTTGGGATTCATTGATAATCCTTTTACGGTGACTATGATAGTATTCTATGTTCTATTCCTACCGAATCAACAACGTTCCTTTGAATTTCAGGAATTTATCAAAAGTGTTCAACGCATTGATATGCGAAAAAAATGACTGTTATAATTTTTCACGAATTTTCATATATTTTTTAAATTATTGAAATTACATTATTGAAAAAAATGGCATCTTATATACTTTCATGTTAAACCTTCTTATTGTTTCACTGTAATTTAATATAAAATATTGCACAAATATTTTTTCTATGAAAGAGATTTTCGTGAAACATCACTGATAAATCCGATATGCGCTTTGGTTTTAATAAAGTGGTATTGATTTCTGGAATTTTTGTGGAAAATTTTTTTTGAGAATTTTATTGTTGTTCATTTAACGCATTTTCTGAATTTGGCTCTTTTTATTTTGATTCATTTATAAATTTTTATAATTTTTTATTTAATAGTGATTTCTCCTTTTATTCTCGAAATTTTTAAAGTATTTTTAAAAAAATATTTCTGAAACTCATTCTAATTGTTTAGAACTTCTATTTGAGGGCATGAAAATTTCATATGTTGAAAAAATTCCTTTAAACTTGGTTAATGTTTTTTTGCAAATCGGCTAATTTTTTGAAATAAATTTTAAAATACACGATTCGCAGATTATAATATTCAATAAGTTTTTAGGACGAGAACGGTAAAAGGAATTTGCAATAAATCTTTTTTTAATATTGATGCTAATATTTAGATTCTCGAAAAAAATTTTAATTGAAATTTCCATTGTTGGAGAATAGTATGAGAATTCTCAATGAATGGCAGTTACAATAATCCTTCATAACTCATTTCATTAGGAAATTATTTTTAATATTAAAATTTTAGTCCAATAAATTTTTTTTTAAAATAACGAATAATGAAAATATTTCCGACCGATTATATCGCACTAAAGCTGTGGAATCCAAATTGTATTTCGCGCTTCTGCAGTGTAAAATTTTTAAAAAATTCATAAAATTATAAAAAAAAATTTAAATAAACCGATATGCCATTATTCTAATTTTTCTAATACACAATGATCTATTATAAAACATAAAAAAATCGAATAACACCCTTCTCATTTTTTTTATAAATATATTTTTTTTATAAATATATTCAAAATAATTGATAAATATTCGATTTTATAAGATTTATTGCAATTTGTGAGTGATGCGGATGAACATGGAAAATGTACATATGGCCAGGAAAAAAATGATTTAGACCGCCATAAAACTAATCAAGAATTGAATAAGTTTCCCATAAAAGGAATGGGAAGGGATTAATAAATGTTTGATTCTCCTCGCCATATATACAATCACTATGTTGAAATTCATTTTCTCCACTAACAAATTGAAGAAAAATCTTTAATAAGGAAAAATTTTTTTAGATGCCTTATAAAATTATAAGACAGTGGTTAAGTACGATGGTGTTTTTTTTCGAGACAACTTTTTCTATTGCCGAATAATTTTCATGGATTTATTACGAAAGCAACCTTTGCAGGTTGTTCTCAAGAAAAAAACTGTCGGCAAAAGCTTGAGAAAATGCTAATAAATAGATGCAGAAAAAAGGAAATACCTGATAAAAATTATTTAAAATTATTTATTTAAATTATTTAATAGAATTAAAAACTTCACTAACTGTAATGCAAAAAGTAGCAGAGGAAGCGAACATCTCTGAACAGTCGAAAATCTTGTGAGCAACGATTATTTAAAGCAATCGCAAAACCAGTTTTGGAATTCATTGGTAATTTTTTTACAGTGACTATGATAGTATTCTATGTTCTATTCTTATCGAATTGATGGTATTCCTTTGAATTCCAGGAATTTACCAAAAGTGTTCAGCGCATCGATGTGTAAGGAAAATAGCTGCTCTAATTTTTTATGAATTTTCACATATATTTTTGCTTGTATTTTTGAAAAAAATGATATCTCATAATACATTCTTGTTAAACGTTCTTTTTGTATCACTTTACCACTATTATTTAATATAAAATATCGTGCAA